CCTTTTCCCCCGCTCGTTTGGTTGTCGTGCTGTCTACCCTTTGAGTTTTGTTACAATTATGAGTTAATAGTTTGTATCGAGTTATTTCCAATTCCAATTTCCGTTTGCTCTAAATGTTGTATTTGTCCGACTGTGCTGTGATTTGATTCCCACTCTCCTCAAGAGCAGATTGCTGGATTTATCTCTGACTCATAGTGTTGAGACAAGGTTAGTATGTAACGTGACTTACACAAAGCAACATTTAGGATTTGAACTTGTGTAAAAACACTAGGTTGGGAGCAGGAGCTAATATTTGTATTTATGTTTGGTTAGTAAGTGCACATAGTTGGCGTTTTACGCTGAAGATCCCTATAGCCCCCCCCCCTAAAAAATGTTGGGTTCTGAGGCTCTCCGTGGGCCTGTCGTGGGAACAGAAGCCCTCTCTGGGCTGGACGTGGGAACAGGAGCCCTCTCTGGGCTTAACTCGGGAACAGGAGCCCACTCTGGGCTGGAAGTGGGAACAGGAGCCCTCTCTGGGCTTAACTCTGGAATAAGCGCCCTCTCTGGGCTTAATTCGGGAACAGGAGCCCTCTCTGGGCTTGACTTGGGAACAGGAGCCCTCTCTGGGCTTAATGTGTTCATCCCCATGAATGAAAAGTTTTTATTGGTTTGTTTTATTTGATATTTGAATATGTGCTACTTAGCTGAACGTGGACTAGTGTAGCGAAGGCTACCTTGAAAGATAATAAGGGCTTGGTTTTGAAGGGAATAGCAGTGTACCAGGTGTGTCGGTCAGAACCTGACAGAGAAGGAAGTGATGAACTTGTCCCTAATCAAACACACCTGATTCAACTCATTAGCTCATTAAAAGAAACTCCAGGACCTGAAATGGGTGTCAGATAAGGGAGACATACAAAATGTGCAGTGTTGGGGGGCGCTCAGGACCAGGGTTGAGAAACACTGCTGTAGAGCGACATAAGCTTGAGCACAGATGAATAAGTACTGTCACGTAACATTACACAGCCGATAACTGCGTCATACTATATAACAATGAGCATAAATCAGTAAACGTGATAGTATAAACCTTACTCACTCTTATAAGACGCACAAAGCACAATATACACTCGATCCTGTGGCTGTAATCAATGCTATTTCTCTTCCCCAGTACCCGTGCCACTGACGAACTGATATCTGCTGCAGCTGATGCAATATGCGATCGCTCCCGCTCCGTGCTGAGTTGCTTCACTTCCGATCTCCCATGTGCGTCGTACTTTCATAATAAAAGTCCCCATTCTAGTCGTTGCTACAGTGCTCCTAATTCTCTCAATCGCCTTTTGCACAGAAAGGCTGGCGGGCTTGACGGCGGGCTGGTTCTGAATCAGGGCCGGACACTCTCCAGACACCGGAGGATACCTTCCCTCCAGCTCAGCCCAATGGTGTCTGGGAGGTTCACGGGGCGATGGTAGTTGGCCCCGATCCAGAACAGCGAATTCAGCGTTGCTGAATTTGAATTCATCCAAAGCTGTAATAGCCACAAGCCTGCAGAATTCCTGGGCGAATTCTACGAAGAGGAGATCCCTACGGGCAAAGGTGGCGAGTTTTGTGGAGGTTTCCATGATCGCAGGGGGAAAACAGAAAACAAAACACTTTCAAAAAATGAAAACAAAAACACAGGGAGAAGGGGCGCTGCTTACTGTTTGTCGGTCTAGTGTTCTGTCACGGTGCTGCTGCTGTGTTGGAGCGTGGAGCGAAGGAGCGAGGAGACCTGGGGGCATTTACAAAGAACAATCTTTAATTAACAAGAGATACACACATTTAGCAGTGGAATAGATGTATAACACTAGACCCAGGACAGAGGAAAACACCGGGCTTAAATGCTAGGAACTAAACGAGGAAATTAACAAGAAACACCTGGAATCGATGAATACAATTAATACGAGGGAGAAACTAGGTCACAGGGAGAACATGGAGCATGTGGGGGAGGAAAACAAACACAAAACAGTCCATGGGCGTGACAGTAACAACAGAGCTATACCTTTAAACACATACAGTTAATATTGTGCTATTTATTCTTTTCCGAAATAAAACAGAATGCAATTCAATCCATAGGTGTTTGACCAGGTTTAGATTTATTTATACTAGACCCCAAGTTACAGCATGCTATAAATTAGTTTACAGCCTGGGAGGGAGCGATAAAGCTTTGTATGTCTACAAAATTATTTCAAAATGTATATTTCATTAGTTTCAAAATTTGTAGGAGGGATGCTTGGTTGGTTGGTGAGTCTAGCGTATAAGCTATTCTTGGCAGTATACAAAATCAAGCTCCTCTGTATATTCTATATAGGATTCTACTGTTCCCATTGACAGTATACAGTATATTCTATACAGGATACTGCTCTCCCCATTGACAGCATACAGTCGGGCCCTCACCCAAGCCAAGCTTTGTCCTTTTGATCCACAAAACAGGTAGACAAAACATAAAATGGTTTTCACTGGGTGTGGATACTGCTCCTGACACCAGATCTGCATGATTTAAATTTCTCGGTTCAATAAAGATTTCTTTAGTTTAATAAAGATTGCTCTTTAGACGCTCTCAGACATCAGTGCTCTGCACAGCCGTGGGAAGAACTGCAGAGACATGTCTTATTAAGCAGTTTAAACAAATTATGCTTTGCACAGAAAGTAAAGTAACGCTCCAATTCTGGGTTTTCCCCTCCAGAGGGCGCACAAAGATTAACCATAAAATTATTAATTTAGTACTCCTTTAACGCAGGTGCAAAATAACAAAAATGTAATGCAACTAAAGAAAAACAGGAGTACGGATAGTAATTTTCCGAGTTTTAAGAGGAAACCCCGAGCTCAGAAGAAGAGTTATTCTAGAGACTACATTAATGTAAAACAGTAAGAGGAAAAAAAATATGTAAAAAAAGTATTAGCACTGTTGTTTGCTTCTGGCGTGTGATAGAACGTTTGGACCCAGTACGCGTGACATAACAGGCGGATAGTCGCGCTAATGCATAGCAGGCTATTTAGCTCTTGAAAAATAATCAAGTTCTGTGCGTTTACCCAAAGTTATTTGTTGTCAAAACGCGGGCGGTGAAAAGGGGTATCTGCTTGCTTGAGTCCTGCTAGCTGCAAAGCCAACGCAAGTGACCAGCAGGCAGAGGATTCTGCTTGGTCTTAAAGCCTTCGGCAAACGTCTATGTTCCCAAATCAAACGATGATTTGTCCAAAAGCCGATTAGTTCTCACTGTTTCCAATTTAAAGCTTGATATTCGTATGCTCTGTCATATTTAGGTGAGCATAGGAAAAAAAAGTAGGTGATCGTATTTATGACCAATTAAAAAAAGGCAACTTACTAAAGAAATGCTTAGATATTTATTACACACACACACGTTTACTTAGCTATCTAAATGGGGACATTCCATAGGCGTAATGGTTTTTATACTGTACAAACTGTATTTTCTATAGCTCCACACCAACCCTACACCTAAACCTACCCCTCACAGGAAACTTTCTGCATTTTTACAATTGAAAAAAAAACCGTTGTTTATTTTTATACCAGTTTTACAAATGAGGACGTCCACAAAGGGAGGTTTTTGGAGATTTTGTCAGGTTTAGCTCACTTTTGGGTACAAATTTGTCCCCAAAATATGGTTAAGTAGGTACACACACACACATACACACACACATATATATATATATTTATTAGGCTAGCCTACAATAAAAAACGTAAGAGCTAACACTAACCATTTAGAATTGAAAAGCTGCCTTCACTTGGTTGCGCCCATGCCCGTTTACGTGTAATAAATGAATAAGGACAATGTAATAAAGATTGCTTTTTAGACGCTCTCAGACATCAGTGCTCTGCACAGCCGTGGGAAGAACTGCAGAGACATATTAAGCAGTTTAAACAAATTATACTTTGCACAGAAAGTAAAGCAACGCTCCAATTCTGGGGTTTCCCCTCCAGAGGGCGCACAAAGATAAACCATAAAATGATTCATTTAGTACTCCTTAATGCAGGTGCAAAATGACAAAAATGTAATGCAACTAAAGAAAAACAGGATCAGTACGGATAGTAATTTATTAGAGCTTTAAGAGGAAACCCCTAGCTCAGAAGAAGAGTTATTCTAGAGACTACATTAATGTAAAACAGTAAGGGGAATATATATATATATGTAGAAAAATTATTAGCACTGTTGTTTGCTTCTGGCGTGTGATAGAGCGTTTGGACCCAGTACGCGTGACATACTTAATAAGCGGATAGTCGCGCTAATGCATGGCTGTCTATTTAGCTCTTGAATAATAGTCAAGTTCTGTGCGTTTACCCAAAGTTATTTGTTGTCAAAACGCGGGCGGTGAAAAGGGGTATCTGCTTGCTTGAGTCCTGCTAGCTGCAAAGCCAACGCAAGTGACCAGCGGGCAGAGGATTCTGCTTAGTCTAAAGCCTTCGGCAAACGTCTATGTTCCCAAATCAAACGATGATTTGTCCAAAAGCCGATTAGTTCTCACTGTTTCCAATTTGAAGCTTGATATTCGTATGCTCTCTCGTATTTAGGTGAGCATAGGAAAAATCCTTGTAAAAGTAGGTGATCGTATTTATGACCAATTAAAAAAAGGCAACTTACTAAAGAAATGCTTAGATATTTATTTACATAGTAATTTCAGAGAAAGTGATGCCTATATCTACTGAAAACAAGAATCTAACCGGCAAATAGCGCTCTTTGCATTAGGTTACTATTGATTACATTAGAGCTAAAGCAGCCTATAAACTATACAATCTGCAATGAAAAGTTACGTCCTCTATAGCTAAATTTACATTTTGTGGTGCACGTACTTTAAAATAATTCGATTATTCCCGTCGCTTTGTCCGTTTAAAATGGAATATATATTCTGCTAAAACGTCTTAAATTTTTTTTTTTTAGATAATTCGTTGCTCGAATAAATATTATCAAGATAAGAACCACGGTATCTTGCAAAGCCAAGAGGAAAACCTTTGGTACTGACCATTTAACATCATGACAAGGTTTAACTTTTTATTGTGCTTAACGGTTCTTATTTCTTTGGGACTGTCCGGGAGCGATGAGCCGGACCTCTTTCAGGCTCCACTGAGTGAGATGTCCTCGGATGCTGGAGTCTCTCTCTTTGATCTGGAGGATGTGGACTCTCCTGAGTGTTCCGCGTGCGTTTGGAGAGAACAGAGTAAAGTCTTACGGCTGGAAACAATCAAATCACAAATCCTTAGCAAACTGCGCTTAAAACAAGCGCCTAACATCAGCAGAGAGGTGGTTAATCAGCTTCTTCCCAAAGCACCTCCGCTGCAGCAGCTTCTGGACCATCACGACTTCCAGGGGGACGCATCCTCCCTAGAAGATTTCATGGACGCCGATGAGTATCACGCCACTACCGAGTCCGTCATCACCATGGCCTCAGAGCGTGAGTTACAAACCTTTTCACATTTGTTTAGTTGTTTAATAAGTTATGCTTAAGCTAATGGTCTAAAACACTTTAGATGTTCCTTGCACCCTCTAAAAGCAGTTACACATCTATTAAATGTTTAGTGGCAAATGACCGTTTATGTAGGCCTATTACTAGATTTGGTATAGTGATCCCCAAAATATGGTTAAGTAGGTACACACACACACACACACACACACCCACACACACGCACGCACGCACGCACGCACACACACACACACACACACACATATTTATTAGCCTACAATAAAAAACGTATGAGCTATCACTAACCATTTAGAATTTAAAAGCTGCCTTCACTTGGTTGCGCCCATACCCGTTTACGTGTAATAAATTAATAAGATATACTTACATACATATAATACATACATTATATTATGTAAAAAAAAAAAACGAGCAGTATTTCAGATGATTAATAGAGAGTGATATTATAAATGATGAGCATTAAAGCAGTTGCCAAAGAACCGTCTTGCACAAGCAGGCTCTGTTGCCGTTAGTCTCTGCTAGAAAAAGTGTCCAAAAACACTATTGTTTCCCCACAGCAGCAGTGCCTTACGACTGCACTTGCCTTTAAATGTGAAGTTTATAGGCATAGGACGTTTTTTCACTTGAGTGTGGATACAAAGCCCATGGAGGAGTTTGGGTCGAGGGGAGTGTGTGACCTTTTCGCTGAGAATAGCCGGGGTTCAACAACATTTACACACATAATGTATTCCGCACAAGGCAGATGAAAAGCCGAGCAAATAATCCGTTTTTTTTCCTTACCAGAGTGAACAAAGATAGGTTTGTGTTCCCCTAACTAACCTCTGCGTTGATTGTCACACAGCCCACGTTCCCGCTGGCATAATGAACGCGCTTTACATTCAAGGGACGAATCACATAAATGATCATTTAACGGCTGCAAAGCTCATGGATTGCTTTTAAAAATAGCTTTTTTGTTGTTGTAGATTGTTGTTGTAGCAGTGCAGTATGAGAACAGCATGAAAAAATGAATTATAAGTCATTTTGACCATCACGGTTCAACGAGTGCATTTACTCATGTATTAAACAGCAACTATTTATTTATTTATTTATTTGAAATTTAACTTTAAAACATTTCAAGATGGTAGAGAAGTTTCATGTAATTAGTCACATTTATGTTCTTTTTGTGATACATCCCTTTTCAAATACTCGTTTGAGTTTATTCAGTGGGCTCTCATTTTATTCTATTCTATTTAAGCTACTGATGAATTCAAGAAAACTCAATTGGAACTACTAGATAGTCTTTTAAATTCCTTTCAACATGACATAAAAGGAGAAGAATTTCTAAAATGTCTTTCAATTATTTTAATCACTTAAAATAATGAACTTGTATCAATTAAAAATGCCAATGAAAAATATTTGTTTTACGTTATATATAATATCCATTTTAAAGGTTAAATTTATTACAATAAAAATTAAACCATTACTCTATTGTTCCAAGATTTTTACAATGTTGTTTCTTTGCAGTTTTCATTTATTTTATCTTTACTTTTACTTTTTAAAAAATTGTTATTATTTTCAGTAATCCTTGTTTCTTCAGCTTCCTTCTCCCATCACTGCATCCATGATCATCTCCCATTCTCGTTCTTTATCACACAAGCAGTCAGTTCTGGCTAATAAAAGCAAATGCTTGTGACATTAAATGTAATCCCACAAAAACAAAACTCTCCTTTTCACCAAAAAAAAGTATTTCTCTCCTTATACCCCTTTATGTACATTATGCACATTACTAGTAGCTGACTAATAAAATAGCCCAAATAAAGATCAAATGTACACAATATCGTAAAATACATTACTTAACACATTGCTGCTCTAGCACGGAATGACAATGGAATGGAAAGTGTCTTGAAGTATTTTCCCACTATTACCAGCTTATATTTTGGGTGTTAGATTTAAAGGTGGATATTATGTTTAGATGTTGCACTGGTATGTTTTATTCTGCCTCTGTTCTGAATTTGGCTGTGTATGTGTACAGGCTAGAGTAGAAAATCAACCATTAGAACTCATTTGTCACCAGTCTATATATTTAGACCAGACCTTCCTCCCTTGTCAATGAGCTTTCATAACAGCCTGTGTTTTTTGTTTTTTGTCAGTAATTTGTCAGCTTACACCCTCACCTCCCTCCCACACAATGACCCACCTCCCTACTGACTTGTTTAACTTAACCACCAAACTGTGCTAAATGCTAGGAGAAGACAGTAGAAATAAAAAATGTAGGGCTCTCATTGTTATGAGAGGTTGAATTATCTGAGATATATAATTTGCCATAACTTCTCTTTTTGTTCCCCAAAAATTGTACTCTGCAGTGCACTCCCATAGAAACACACATTCATCAAGTCAGAGAGGAAAATGCCTCCTATTGACAAGAAGGGTCAGAGAGTTCACAGCAATGTGCATCCATATATTGGATGAGGAGCCAATTAACCTCTTCAGGTCTTTTTCTTTGGCCGCAAAAGATAGCTAGTAGATTAAACACTACTACCCCCACCTAAAATGTCAAACAGGACGGGTAGGAGATTAAACAACACTACAAGCACTGCCTCCCCCACCTAAAATGTCTCTTTCTCTCTCTCACAAAAAGTCACATACACACATATACACACATTCACAAACACCAACCCACTAACCACTCCCAACTAGAAAAAAAACCAAAGGTCTTTTATTGTGTTGACCCTATAAAAGGGTAATTTCCTGAAGGTGCAGGAACCATAAACATTAGAAGAGAGAATGCTAAAAAGACAAGACGGTTGTCCAACCATCCACTGATCAATGGGAAGTGTGTGTGGGAAGTTTTTTAGTATTAATTCACTGTGTGAACACCTGTGTCTTAGACTACTCTCATTCTTTCCTGTTCATCTGAGAGAGTGAAAGAGGAATAAAATAAAGGAGGAAAGCAAACTCAACATGTTTTGTCACCATGAAATAAAAAGTGAAGTAATTAAAGAACAGAAGTGTTGTAGAAATAACACTTCATGTAGTCCATTTTTTGGTTAATAAACTTTCAATGGAACTGAAGTCCACTATACCCTGGGTACAATTTCACTGCTCTCTCAAGAATGCCTCTCTTTCTTTCTCTCGTTCTCTTTCCTCTTCCCACGGTTCAATGCTTCTCCTCCCATTCTGGAGCAATTCCAGACCCAGATAAGCAGGTAGGCCTACTGAAGTCATCAACATGTAACAAATAAAATTGCATCTCAAACATGTAAATATAACTCTTTATCTCAAACATGTAAATATAAGTGAAAACTTTAACCTGAAAATATTTAATGACTGCTTTGTAAGGATCTCTCTGGAGTTATATGTGTACTGTTATGAGTATAATCTCAGTTCAGTCTCTTACTGTATCTATCCTTTACCTCAGTCAAACTACATTCAGTGGCAATATATAAATGTTGCACACAGAACATGTTGCGCATGAACACGGTCAATAATTTCATGATGATGAAACTGAGGTTTTATTATGCTGACATTTGAAGAAATGCTTTTGCTGTATATTTCATTATACATTTCTGTTTCTTTGGGATTGTTGAGGAGAAGAACATGTTTGCCTGGTAATTTGCAGCCAGCAATCATAGTCCACCAAAGAGTATCCATGAATTGCAAGACTTTGCAGGAAAGTGTATAAATATGCAGATAATATTAAATTAAAAAAATGAAGCTGTATCTGAAATCTACTTTGGAATTTTCCCACACTGTGTCTGTCACTCAGTCTTTTTTTTTTTTAAAGAAACCAAGATCTTGGATCAAGATCATGGTTTATAAAGCAAAACATGTTACCTCTCACTGATAGAGTGAGTGACTACTCCAGGTAGACCAGTGATTGACAAGGGGAAGAAACTGTTAGAATGAAAAGATTGAACAGAGTAAAACTACTGACTACAAACATGGATGAATTAAGTCATTAGGCCAATTAATACAAAATAGTAATGTAATCAAGTGCAAAAAAACAGGTACCTTACCCTTATCAGCCATTATGAGCCCAGATTACTCAGGAATATATTAATAAATAAATAACAATTAAATAATTTATGCATTTAGCAGACGTTTTTATCCAAAGCGACTTACAGTGCATTCAGGCTATTCATTTTTTTTTACCAGTATGTGTGTTCCCTGGGAATTGAACCCACAACCTTTTACGCTGCTAACGCAATGCTCTACCACTGAGCCACAGGAACACATATAATATTAAGATATAATATAATATAATATTATTAATAATAATATTAAGTACACATAATGCTGCAGTAAAGCAACGTTTCACACCCTCACTCCCATTAAGCATTGCAAATTACGTAGAGTCAGTTTCCCTAGGCTCCCAAACATTCCCTAGACTCTTAAATATTTCTATATGCATAATATGTATATTTTGTAATAAACACAAAATATATTGTTTCAATCTTTAAATCAATAGTTTAATATTTTTCTTGTTTTCAGTGTATAGTATGTATTTCGCAATGTTTCATGAAATTGTAGTTATTTCCCTCATTACATTTCCTCATTTAAATACTTTTTTGTTCCAAATCAAAGTTTGTAATGTTGTCAATCATCTCTGATTGATTTGGTTCATGGCGTGTAACTCTTAAACAAAGACGTTTTTAAAAACCTTATGGGAAAAATGAATTGGAAAAATAGAAAAAGAGGATGGGCACTGTTGCTCTCTATTGTGGTGCTAGAGCTTTACAGTTTGAATGATGCGTTAGAATGTAACGGCCAGTTGTTTAGCAACAAACAACCAATCATAAACTGAACAAGCTTGCCTCATTAAATAATGCACTTTCCACAGTCACAGAAACTTGTATTTCATTTCAAAATTTCATTTCATTTTTTTTGAGTGAAAAATCTAAATGTCACCCTGTGATGAAAATGCATTAATAGAATTGAAGAAGAGAGAAGACAAGGCATTATATAAAGATGCCATGTGCTCTGTTCATCCAGTT